TACTATTATTACTATTAAATTATAAGAACGACATGATTTTATACTATAAAATATTTGATACATTTTTATCACATTAAAAATATGTCAATTTGATAAAATGTGAATTTATATTAATAAATAAACAAACCTCCATGTTTAGTACAACACGCTATTACAATCCATGCCATACCTATGGCCCAAAATAATCTGTGCAGTGCCACATATATAGCAGTAAATAGGACGGATCGCTTGTGATAAAGAACAAATGATACAAAAACGTTGCAAGTAGTCATAAAACAAAAAATGCACCAACACAAAATAACAATTTTCTGAAATAAATATACATCAAATTATATTATAATGTTGTTTATTTATGACTATGACTTTGTTCTAAAATTATTGCCAGAACTGAAAATTTGTAGTTTACGATATGTGCGTTATAGATTTTCAATATTGACAGCCAATTTTAAAATGTCTATGTAGATAATTTATTTAAAAAATTAATTATCCTCTATCCAAAACACCCCTGGATACCCGGTTACATGAAACACCCCGTTATAATGATCGCTATTCCAGAAAAACGAGTTTCATTCATTTTTCCACTGGTGTAAATGTGAACTTTAGCAGTCATAATAACCGATATTCCGGGTAGAGAATTAATAATGTTTATATTGCATAAGTATTACAACTACTATTTCTGCTTAATACATTATGTAAAAGTATTATAAATAATACTTAACTCTTTTCAATATCAAATTGTTGTTAAATTTTGCTAAAACGTAACCTGCAATTATTCCAATAATATATGGAATTATTCTCATCCATGGTGGGTTGTAGAAGACATCTGAAAGTCCATCCACTGGATCTATTCTGTAACGATAAGAAGATCGTTCTTTTAATTAATTTCTCGAAACTTAAGATTCATTTCAATAACTTACGTTAGGACATATTCATAAATATTTGAAATGTAACCGCTAAAGATAATTGAACCCATTAAAAGTCCACCTAATATCATAACAGCTGTATAGAAGTACCTGAAATTTAGAATATATGTCTTTACAAATGTATACAACATAGAAATATATTAGTTGTAATATACACAAACCATCTATAGATAACTTACATAGTTGACAAAACCAACAGCGTCATAGTAATTATATAAAATTGCATGTCATTAGCTAAATACCAGCTCCAAATCATGCACTGAAAAAATATAGTAAAAATTTTAGAGTAATGAAATTTTATACATGATGAAGCATAACATTTATCAGAATCAAATGAGATTTTAATCAAATGAGATCATACCATATCATCGGCGCTAAAAAGGTTATTTATGTACAATAGATTTCTCCACCAGTATTTCGCGCAAGTTTCGTGCGACTTTTCATAAATGTCAAATTGAGATGTCTTATCGAACCAAGCTGAACTTAATTGCGTTATTCCTAACACCAGCATGTAAGTCGGTGTCAACCTTAATAAAACTTAAATTAGATATGTGTAAAGAAGAGTTATTATCTAGCTTATAAAATAAACGTCCCGATTGATGCCACTTTAAGTAAATGTTCAATTTTAGAACGATTATATTAACAAAGTATATGGATAAGTAAAATTATGTTTCGTTTCTAAAGTTAATATTCATAAGTTAGCAAAAACACATATGAAAGTTAAAATAATCAAAATTATTTGTATATAT